GGCCCAGCCCCCAGCACTGCTCACTGGCAGTTCCCCAGCGCCCTCTGATGGGCCCAGCCCCCAACACTGCCCACTGGCAGTTCCCCAGCGTCCTCTGGGGGCCTAGCCCCCAGCACTGCTCACTGGCAGCTCCCCAGTGCCCACTGGCCCAGCCCCCAACACTGCCCACTAGCAGCTCCCCAGCACCCACTGGTGGGACCAGCCCATTGCTGCATGCTAGCACGCACCAATGAGCCCAGTCTCAGATCTACATGGTGCAGTTTTTCTCCAGCTAGCCTGCTGTTTTCTCACACTTCCTACCAATGGACCCTGCCTTGGGCCTGGAGCGACCCCACTCTCCTGGGGGTCAAAGGAGACTTCAGTCTCCCTGTTACTATCACAGAGAGACCTGCAGTAAGATGGGATGCACCTGGATTTCTCAAACCTTCAAGAACAGAACCCGGCTCCCAGCCTGCCAGCCCAAGCTGCTTGGCTGGGTTTGGGCACCCTGAAGTGCCTCCACCCTGCCAAGCGCTGAGCCCTCCAAGATCAGCAGGTGCTGGGGCAGTGTGAGCACCGGTTCTGGGAACATGCTTTCACCCAGTCACATGAGCCGTTCTACACCCACTGGGGTGGGGGAGGGGTGTGACGCCTCTGCCCTTGCCCTTGGAGTGACTTCCCAAAAGCCCTTAAGCCACTGAGCCAGACTCCACCCTCACCTCGTCAGCACCAACACTTGGAAAACATGAGCGTGTTTTGTGCTTCTTACCAGAAGGAACTGCCTGTGAGGGAGGGGCAGGTGGGAAGCATGTACTGACATTGAAATACGCACCGTGCGATCCAGGGCTGGCTCGTCTGTTGTGCAAAAACTAGTATGTGGTTGTTTAGTTAAAGACTGTCTCGTAATTAGGCTTGGAAGGAATAGATTTTTTTAAAATCGGTAAATGTTGATAAACATCTATGTCATAATACACACACAAACCAATGACAACTATTGCCCTCAGTAATGATTGGAATTTATAACTAGGCAGATTACAAAAAATGCTGGTTGATTTAAGGATATTTACCTTGTATATTTTGACATGTGATGTTGATCATTTGTGTTTTAATGGGTATAAAGCCAATGTCTTCTGTCATTCAACAATTACTGTCTGACTTCCCCACAACTGTCAACATTTAAACTGGAAAAAAAAATGTAAACCCATAACTTTGTGCAAGTGTGAACATTGACATTGATTAAAAACTGGAAGGGGGGATGCCTAAGGATAAACATTGCTATTACACGTCAAAATTATTAGAAAAATAAAAATCAAATTCTACCAAGCCTAATCATAATGCATACATACAAGGGGGCCAAATTAAGTTTGCATGGGCAGAGCTCATTTGGGCAATTCCTAATGCATGCCTTTGTAGCCTTACTGGTCTTGTAACACAGATTTTTTTTAATGCAGTTCCTAGGTTTTTCAAAAAGACAACTGAAAAAATAGAAATTCCATCCTGTGGCATCACACTGACCCACACACGAACTGCCATCAGGGCTGGAACCTTTCGACCGACAGCACAGAGCTAAGGGAGGTAACTGGTAGCAGTAGTTGGTTGTCATTCTCTATGAGGACACACCAGCAGAGGGGGATGAGACACACCGTTTGCCAGTGGGTTTCACAGGTGTTTGCTGACAGGAGAGGAACACTTAGCACTCGTCTACACTAGAAGTGCTACAGTGGTGCAGCTGCAGGGTGTCTGGAGAAGATGCTCTAGGCGGACAGGAGAGAGCTCTTCCATTGGCACAATAAATCCACCTCCGGGAGGCGGGAGCTGCTCTCCCACCGAGGTAGCACATCCACACTGGCACTTAGGTTGGTGCTGGGGGTGGATTATTCACAGCCCTGAGCACAGTAAGTTATACCGAAGTAAGCTCTAGTGTAGACGAAGCCTGAGACTCACGAATCCTGGGTTCCATGCCAGGTTCTGCAGGTGAGTATTGTCTCCTGTCTCACAAAAGGGCTCTATGTCTCTCCTCTCCTCCAGGCTGCCTGAGGCTAGTGCGGGTGGGGGAAGGGCACAGAGCGCATGGGAGAGACAGTCTCTCTGCCCTCCGTTGTGCTACTCTGGGGTTTGGAAGGAGCAATTGCAGAGAAAGTCCCGTTCTGACCTCAGGCCACTTGCCATGTAGGAGCTGGGGCATGGGGGGTGGAGCAGACTCAGTGCAGGTGGAACGTTTGGAGAATGTAGCTACCAGCCTCTGATGAGCCTTTACTAAACGTGTGCATATTGTCAGAAGTTTATAATGGGCAGACTTGGGCCCACTTTCATGGGGACGGCAAAAGGCCTCTCCCCGACTCAAAGACCAAATGACAAGTCCCTGCACCAAAGCATGGGGGCCTAGAGCGTCTCACTGAAGCAGTTGTAAGAAATTTGTAACATGGATGATGTATTTTCCCATAACCTCATTCTCAGAAATAACTGAACTGTTTTGGCTGAAAATTTCCAGAAAAATTCAGCCTAAAGCAGATGCTCAGCCTGGGAAATTTCAGCCAAAACAGCCTAAGTTTGGTAAAGTTACAAGCAATTGAAAATAGTCTTATCACGGAAAGCATGAGGCAACCTTGACTACAGGTGGCAATGAGCCGCTCCATCCCCCCCCATCAGTGTGGTTTGGCAGGAGCTCAAAATGGTGACAAGCCGCCGCTTCTCCAGTACAGGTGACACCCACCTGTACACCCTGCTGCCTAGACCGGACAGGGACATGGCAGCCCCTGGTGACTAGGAGGTGGCACTGAATGCCTCCAGCAGTCCCTCAGCCCCATCTCCTGTGCATGGGGGGTGTGGAGTGGGGGCATAACCAGCTGACTGTACCCCAGTCCCTTGCACCAGGGCATGGCGGGGAAGGGCTGGTCCCCGTCCACCCCCCCGACAAGGGCTGGAAGCCCCCTGGCTTGCACTGTTGAAAGCTGGCCTGGGCAGAGCCCTGGGGAGCAGCCCGCAGGGTACAGTCCGGACTCACTGCCAGGCTGGGCAGCCGGGCTATCCCCAGTGGGTCGGTTCAGTCCCAGGCCGGTGGGAGCGCGTTGCCCTTTTAAGAGGGGACTCTCCATGCCTCAGTGAACTCAGGCGACTTGGCATTTCCATTGTTGCTGCGGCTGGGGCCGGAGCCCGGGGCTGGGCGCTCCTCGCACTCCCTGCGGCAGAGTTTGGAGGGGAAGGAGGCAGGACCCAGCCCAGGCAGGTGGCCGGAGCCAGGATGGGGCGCAGAGAGCAGCCCGGGGCCGGCACAGGAGAGCTGGGTCCCCCTGCTCCTCTGCCTGGCTGGGGGCGCGAGGCAGGTAAGGGGGGTCCTTTCCCTGGGGACCTGGGCTCGGGGCTGGGCTGCCCCGGGGGGAGGGGAGGCTGCGGGCTCAGCTGCTCATTGTGACCTGCATTCAGCCCTGTTGCTGGGGCACTTGTCTCCATGGCAACAGTAACTCTGATTATTTAACCGAATTCCCACAGAGCCAGGGTGCGTTGGAGTGCAGGGACCCAGTGGGTCCGGACGGGGCTGCGGAACCTAGCTGCACCGGGACCCACTGGCTCCAGGCAGGTCTCCCCCCTGGCTGGGGTGGTTCTGGCCCGCCTGGATCCTCCAACAGCCCTGGGCCTGTGCCGGGGGGATCAGTAATTCCTGAACTTTCCCAGAGCTCTCAGCCGGGGCCCAGCCTCGACCCCGGGGCCAGGAGAAGCCGTGGAGCCAGGTGCTGCCCCCTGGAGCAGGGGGAGCCCGAGAGGATGAGCCCAGCGGAGGTGAGACGTCGCTCGGGCGAAGGGCTGCGGCTGCCACCTCCTTCCAGGGCAGCAGGAGGGACGGGATGCTGTGCAGTGTTGTTCTATCACCAACCAATATTGCACTCGTCCCGGCCTCCTGCCTCCTTGGGCTCCTCCACACCCAAGGCTCCAGAGCCGCCCCCTCCTGCCCGGCCTCGCTCGCTGCTCCCCAACCCTGCGGGGGGGAGCCGGTCCCTTTCGTTCTAAGGTTGGGAGAGCTGTAATTGGCATGACTATTTTTCAGAGGCATTGCACTCGTCCCGGCCGGAGTCAGAAGGGATTTGAGCCACTCAGCAAGGAGACGAGCGCCCCGTCCTGGAATAGGTTCCTTGGCAAGGGATTAGTTACCCCTCCTGCCAGGGCTGACTTACCATGCGTGTGAGCTTCTTCCAGCAGTGGCCTGTCACGATTCCCGGTGCTGCAAACTTCCTCCCAACAGTGTGCTGTCAGTGCCCGGCTGAGGACCCAGGCATCACACGCTTCCCAACAGCAGTGCCCTCTCAGTGCCTAGCTGAGACCTCAATGCTGCGAGCTTCCTCCCAGCAGTGCTCTGCCAGTACAGGCTAGAAACCGCAGTAAGACTGGAAGTGCATGTCAGCAAAGAGGACGTAGTCTGGGTTCCTCTCTGCAGCCAGCAGCATCCCAGAGAGACCCCAGCATTCCCACCAGCCCTGGACAAGCTTCAAATGGGAAACAGGGCCCCTGTGAACCCAGGGGATACTGGGATCTACAAGGCAAGCAGCTCCAAGTGCTGAGGTCGATCTGCCCTCTTTCTCCTCACCCTGCCCCCCCACCCCACCCAGAAACAAGGTGCACAGGGTAGAAAACAATCAGAACTTTATGGCCAGACTCAGGATGAAGGTTCCAGCAGGAGGAGGAGCGCCAGGGCTGAGGGGCGGGTGCTTTGGGCACTAGCAGTACCAACTGGAGAAGCTCGCCTGATGGCCCCAATCCACCGGCAGACACACCAGTTGCCTTGCGGTCCTTTGCTCAATGCCCAGCTACAGAGCCCCATGAGGCTGGGTCCTGGCAAGGGTGTGCGCTTTGGTTATCCTGCTGAGGGGGAGACAGGCCCAGCTGGGCTGGGCAGGCACTTTAGTACCAGTTAGCTGCAACGCAAGGTCCAATGGGTTCCAGTACCCGGGTCTGGACAGCGTGGAGGCCTGTGGGCCACAGGCAGGGAGAAGCCGAGGCCCAGCTCAGGGAGGAGGCTGTGGAGGCCACAAGAAGTCCCTTGGTGACGCACTTGGAGAGGTCCTGGGTGTGGCTGGGGAAGGAGGCTGGCTCACTCACGGCCCTCCAGCAGGAATCGGCGGAAAGGCTCAAAGTCTCCTGGGATCGTGTCTGCCAGGTATGAGAGAGAGAGGATGAAGGCAAATGCAGGGGGCACCTGGAAACAGGGATCACTGGGCACTTTGCCCCATAGCGGCTCCTACACCCTGACCCTATGGGCTCATGCCTCCTTCTGAGAGGTGAGGAGTGGGACACTGGGGCTTTCCCCTCTAGGGGGCGCCAGGTCTGATGCAGGCTGGGGGCGGGGATCAGCTGGCTCAGGGGAATGGGACACAGACCTTCCCTTCTTGGGGGCGCTGGCTCTGATCTGACTCTAAAGGGCATTCACTCACTGCTGACCCAGTGACCCCTAAGCGGGCTGTGGCTCCCCACGCCACAGAGATCAGCACCTGCACCGGTGCCCTGGGCAGCCCCAGTGGAGGGGCGCGGAGTCCGAGCCCCCCGGCCCTGGCAGAACGTCAATAAAATCCGAACGCTCTATGCTGAGAAGAGCCTTGTCGAGTTCTTGACACCATGGCTGCATGGGCGCTGCCTGGCACAACCTCTAGTGCAGCCCAGGTGTGGGGGGACCCCACCCCCACCCAAACCGTCCCTGCCCGGGCAGGTCACACAGCAGGGCAGACAGGCTTCGGGGCTGAATCCTGGAGCCAGCGTGCCCCCGAGGACGCAGGTTTATCCTCCGCCCCGCCACGCTCACCATTGCACCGATACTGCAGATTGGACCAGATAATGTTCTCCTGGGAAAAGCAGAAGACGCCCAGCCGCCCGCCCCGCATGGTGGTGTCGATGATCACCCCAGAGTCGGCCACCAGACGGGGTCCCTCATAGAGCCGCACCCTGGGGAGAGATGGGCCGGGCCCAGTGAGCATAGTGCCACGGGGTGGGGGCACTGGCCATCGAGACCTGGGGGGGCCATGTATGGGGGGGCACCCCTTGGGGGACAGCCAGCTCCCAGGCTGCCCCCCAGGGCTCAGGAAGGGACATTCTCAGGCCCCAGCACCTGGCCTCTCCAAGCCCCATTGTTCGGCCTGTTTGCATGTGAAAGGCCTTTGCTGGGCCGGAGCATTCCGAGCAGGGATTGGGTTGCTATGGCGACAGGGACAATGGCCGCTGAGGCCCAGCTTGTGAATGGAGTTAGCGCTGGGCTGTGGGGGCCGGTTCCCAGGCGCTGAGCTGCACGAACACGTCCCCCACCCACCCCCCAGGAGCTGCCAACCAGCGCGGTGGCCTGGTTAAAAAGGAAACTGCCTTGCATGGCCGTCCTCCTGAGCCCAGCTTCCAGTGGGGCCCCCTGCCCTGAGAATGGGCTCTGGGGTCCCCCTGCCAGCCCCATTATATCCACTGAGGGCCCCACCAAACCCACAGGGCTTTGGGGTCCCCCCAACAGCCCCATATCCCCACTGGGGCCCCATGAAAACCACGGGTGCTGGGGTCCCCCTGCCAGCCCCACTATATCCACTGGGGGCCCACCAAACCAACGGGGTGCTGGGACCCCCCCCCCACTAGCCCCACTATACCCACTAGGGCCTCACCAGACCCATGGGGTGTTGGGACTCCCCCTGCCAGCCCCCATATACCCACTGGGGCCCACCAAACCTGCAAGACTCTGGAGTCCCCCTGTTATTTCCACTATCCCCACTGGGGCCCCACCAAACCCAGAAGGCTCTGGGGTCCCCCTGCCAACCTCACTATCACCACTGGGGCTCCATGAAACCCACGGGTGCTAGGGTCCCCCTGCCAGCCCCACTATATCCACTGGGGGCCCCACCAAACCCACAGAGCTCCACCATACCCGCGGGGTGCTGGAACACCCCCGCCAGCCGCAGTATCCCCAGTGGGGTGTGTACTGTCCGTGTCCACCCCGCTCATACTGCCGGGCTCTGGGCCTGCCCCTCCTCACCTGATGTAGCCCACCTGGGGCCTGTGTGTGAGCTGCCATCGATAGGAGGTCTTGTCTTTCCAGCCCACGTTGCGAGGGTCTTTCCAGAGGAGCCGGACCTGGTCTGGGGTGTGGCCCGTGTGCCACAGGGCATTGCGCAGGTGCTCCCCGGGGCCGTTCTTGGACTTCACGGCCTGTGGGAAGCGGGCAGGAGAGTTAGTGGAGAGGGATCCCAAGGGTGGAGGATGGGGACTAGGGTGCCCACAGTGGGGCAGGGACTCAGCTGGCTGTCTGATGCTGTGTCCAAGCCCGGGGGTTCCCTTCCCATGCAGCTCCCCGGCTGCCCAGCACTGACCTTGAGCTGTAGACCTGGCTCGGCCACCGCCCGGAAGGGCGTCGCCTGCCAGTATGTCTGCTCTGTCTGCTTCCACATCACCACGTAGAAACTGGCGCTGTCCTGGTAGCTGAAGATGAAGCCGGCGTAGTCGTCATCCGTGATGGTGTTAACGTGAAAGGTGCCCTCGAAGTCCACCCCATTGAAGGCCGTGTAGCCTGTGCACAAGGGCAGGGGGGAGAGTTAGCAAGGGACAACCACACCTGGGCTATCCGGGCAAGAGGGGAAGGGACCTCAGTGCTCCAGCTGGGGGACTGGCCATGGCGAGACAAGGCCTTGTCCAGCATCACCCCAGCAGCCTGCTGCCTCCCAGCCTTCATCTCCTGTCTCCGGGACCCAGAGGTCACGCTCGTGGGGGGAGTGGGGAGCCTGGACCTTAAATCTCAGCTGATGAGGGAAAAGGGGAAGGAGGAGGGGGAGATGGGGAGGTGTAACTTGCTGCAGAGACCAGCAGCAGCACGGGAACATTGGTCAAAGGCCAGGAAAACCCACCTACCTACTGCCAGGCCTGGGTCACTGTTCATGGTCTGTACAATCTCCATGCCCTGGAAAGAGAGAATTTGGATGTGACTTTTAGTCTCCGTAAGTACAGCTCTGAGCGCCCTGCCCCAGGGCCAGCACTTCTCCGGCCCCACACACTGCCCCAGCCATGGTCCCTTCTGTTTCCAGGGAAGAGCTCCCCACGCTGTTCCCTGCTTTCACCCTCCCCAGCGCTGTGTGCCCCGGGCACCAGCTGGGGAACAGGAGATGGGGCTGGGTCTCCCATGCAGCTCACACAGGCCACGTACCCCCTGCCCCACGAGGGGGCACCTGGCGCAGCTGTACCTGATTGAGAACCACCCAGTTGGGGTCGATCTGGGCATCCCCTTCGGGGTCGAGGATGACGGTCTGGTAGGCCCGGAAGTCGGTCAGCGTCACCTCGGCGCTCTCCGGACACACGTCCAGCTGGTCCACCACAGTGTCATTGTCGAAATCCTCCTCACAGACGTCGCCCACACCGTTCCCTGAGCACACAGCACGCGTCTGGTCACGAGAACGGCCATGGGCAGGGACCCACATGTGCAAAGCAGGGGGAGGGCGTGGGGCAGAGAGTGCACAGTGCCAGGGGAGGGCGCGGGGCAGAGCAGTGGGGGCTCAGCCTCCAGGTCACTGGGCTCTAGGGCCTAGGAGCAACAGAGCTTCTGGTCAGCCTGGCACTCGGTGCTGTAGCTGCCAGTTGGGGGCTGACTCTGGGTGACATTTCCATGCCAGCAGAGCCTTTGGCAGACACGGTTCCAGTGGCCAGGAAATGCCTGTCCCAGCAGGGCCTGTTTCCCGGGCCAAAGCGGTACAGTCTGTATGGCAGCAGCCCCCATGTCCGCATTGCAGGGACGGCTGGCTCCTTCAAGTCGCCCAGGCCTGAGCCGTGCTGCTCCCCGCTCCCCGCCAGGCC